TGTTTCTGTATAAGCATCCCAAAAACATCCTGATTCTGCCATCAGCGTCATCCCAGTCTCAGCATTAGTATGATTAAAAGCATGGAAGACACTGTATCAGTAACTCTTTTTTATATAGAGAGGTGTCAGGCTGCATTCACAGTTCTGTATCCCAAAATGCCCAATATGTTCATTCCAAACTGCTTTAAGAGTTTTCCAAAGCACAAAGACGACCACACTTAAGACAGTCGCAGCAGGTATTGAAGGTGCGAACATCAGATGGAAATGAGCCACAGCACAAGTTACTTGTTGGCAGCAGAGATCCCAAATTTCCTCTTGTAGTTACTTTAGCCTACCCTAACTGGAAGACAAACACACTAAAAGGTGGTTTAGATGAAGTTAAGCTATAACCTACCTGAAACCTAGAGATAAAGAGTCTCAGTGACTTAACACACTATCAGTAACTTCAGATCTATTTCAACTGCTACCAACCCGTACTGCCCATCCTAACAACAAAACGTGTGTATCCAGCAGGCTCACTACTATCACCAAACTTACTCATTTAGACTAAGATCAAAATGAACTTAGATTTTTGTATTCAGTAATAACTGGTCAATATTTCCTTGAGGTTAATCAAAAATCAAAGCAGAGCTGTTTATACCTACAGCAGGTCTGGACATCAGAGAATACAATTTGCTTCCAGCACCTATTCTGTGTGATACGAAGCTTCAGAACCTCCTTATATGCATGATATCGGTGTTCCACTTCATTTCTAAGAGACTGAAGTTGAAGAAAATACTCATTTTTGAAAAGGACCTCACCCCTCTAACCCAGAGCACGAAGCGAGCTCATTTTAGTTCAGTTACCAAAGACTTCGGTTGAGTTGAAAGAAACAACTCAAGTGTGTGGGTGCCAGTATCCACCCCTGCAGCCCTGATCCAGCTCTGGGGAACAGCACAAGAGGGACGTGGAGCTGCTGGAGCGAGGCCAGAGGAGGCCCCGGAGCTGCTGCGAGGGCTGGAGCAGCTCTGCTCTGGAGCCAGGCTGAGAGAGCTGGGCTGGGGCAGCTGGAGAAGAGAAGGCTCCTCAAGGGGACGCCTTGGAGCAGCTCCAGTGCCTAAAGGGGCTGCAGGAGACCTGGAAAAGGGCCTTCCAACACAAAGCACTCTGTGACTCTGTAAGAAAGAGAGGATGTCTCTGAAGTATAAAGTATGCTGCTGCTTCTTTTTCCATTGACATGAGATCTGTTACAGGTCAACCATGGAGCTTTACAGCTCCAGTCCGTAAAACACATCCTGACATAACTGGCTGAATTCCCACAGTCTCATTAAACACTACCTATGTTCAAAAGGAAAACTCAAGTCAAGTGATCAGCAACATCTGCTTTTAAGAACAGCAGCACCGAGAACTTCCCCTGGCCTGTCATGAGCCCAGCTGAATGGCAAAAGTGATAATGTTTTTGAGATTAAGGCTTTTACAAGCCTCAGTGAGCCCGGAAGCAAAACGAAGAGCAACTTCCATATAACCCATGAAGAACCTTTCTGAAGGCATCCAGCCACCACTGGCTGGAGCAGCAGGAAGGAAGGACTGGTGGGACAGAAGGAGGCCCAGTTCTCCCACACTGGGACTCCCCCTCTGGAGGTGCTCTCCAGCCAGTTTTGTGCAAGAAACATACTGATGCTTTTTACTGCCTTGTTAAAGCAGAGTGAAAACTGGAGTCAAAGGCAGAGATAATACACTTAACTAGGACTCAAACCAAGAGGAATGGACATGAAGACTCACAGTACCATGCCCATCTTGTTTTCAGGAGCTCTATACCGTTTCCAGTTTGGCAAGTGTCCTGTTTCTTGTCAAACAGGATTTGTATCCGTGGATGCCACTAGGGAGCGTTCCCAGCTTCCTTTGTAGGCAAACACCAGCACTGCTCCAGCAGCCGTTTATTCTAATGAGCCTCCACCAAAAGGGGAAAAAAAACCACCCCAGTTTGCTTTCATAGACAAAATAACTCGAGTGCTTCCTCCAGAGCAGTAACTACACGCTGAGTAAAAGCCAAGGACTGCAGCTACTGCTGCTTTTTCGCTTGGTCACTGTGACTTAGCAAATTACTCCCGAAGGGATGATCCTGTCACATGCTTCACCCCCCGTCCATATGCCCACAACAGATATGGGCATGGCAATTTGTTGCCAACTCTGTCAATGCCACCCTATATCCTTCCCTGCTGCTCACCCCTTGGTCTTGTTACTCCTTCCCTGAGAACAAGCCTTTTTTACTGACACAGTAATTTACTTAGCAAACATGCAGGGAGATGCATTCCTTAGTTGAGTAAGGAGAGAAGGGGGCTGCAAGGATGCTGCAGAGGGACTCTTCATCAGGGGCTGGAGTGGTAGGACAAGGGATGATGGGTTCAAACTGAAACAGGGGAAGTTCAGGTTAGATATAAGGAAGAAGATCTTTACTGTGAGGCTGGTGAGGCGCTGGAATGGGTTGCTCAATGAGGCAGTAAATGCCCCATCCCTGGCAGTGGTGGACAGAGCCCATGGCAGGGGGTTGGAAACGGATGATTTTAAGGTCCCTTCCAACCCCAAACCACTCTATGATTCTCTAAGATACACAGAAATCTGATTAAGTAAGAGTAAGATAAAGATACAGGGAATTATGGGGAACAACAATCACAGAATCTGTTGCTTATACACACACAACCCACTTCCTTCTCTCTGTGGGCTCTCTGAGGCTGAACCATTCTTTAACATGCTACAGGAAACAGTTTGGTAGAAAAATGTTTAACAACTTATATTTAATACAGTGTTTCTTGCACACCGTGGAAATTAAAAGCCACTCCAAGGCATGTTTCAACACATCAGCTCTATTGTTGAGCACTATTTCAAAGAGCATAGTATGCAGCACATAAAGGAAATCATCGTCCCTATTTCCTCTTGTTTAAGCTCCTGCTCAAAGAGGGTAGGAGGGACAGAAAATTAAACCCAATTGTTCTTGGTTTCTTAGTTAAGTCAAGACAATGACTAAGGTGTAACAGAGAACTAATAGGAAGAAGGGGGTTGCAAATGGCAGCTGGAGTATAGCTCCAGAGAGAAAGCAGAGTATTTAATCCAGTTATTAAAAAGACCTTTTGGTTTTCCTCAAAATCTGAAGTTAAAACAGTCTCTGAAGAAAAACATCAATGGTTGATTAAATAAGCAATGTAACAACTACTCACCTGTCTGAACATCTATAACCATCTGATGGCCACCTCTCATCCCTGGTCGGCTGTCTTCTCCATCACCTTTAACAAAGAGGGAAGGGAGAGTTTGCCATTAGAAGACTTTAAAATCAAAGATATAACCCCACGTATGGCCTAAATACTATATGGGAGGAAGCTGAGCAACTTAATAACTCATCATTCTTTAAGCATTAGCATAACACTTTTCCCAGGGAAAACTCTTCTGGGCATTATAAAACTGTGGAGTCTTATATTGGATTGCCTGGTGACTGATAGTACAGAGAGGTAAAGTCAATACAGTGCTCTGCTGTGATTCTGAGAGCCTTGGAAAGGAGCTCGAGAGCTCCTGAAGCATGCAGGTCTGCACAAACAAGCTCTGAACTACCTCTGCAGCTCTCCAGCTGTGAGGACACAGACAACCCTTTGCTTCCCTTCCATGTCTCCCCAGCTGAGAGCTGCCTGAAGGCTGAGCAGTGAGAAAAGACACTCAAATGACAGGGTATGTACCCATGGGATGGAAGCAAAGAGGTAACAGTGTAGACACAGCTTTGCACCAATTACTTATTCTCACATAGAAGGGAATTCCAACCATCCCATTAAAGCAGCTTTCCAACCACTTTAGATATCTTAAGCATTCAGGCCAGGTGTCATCCATGGGAAGCAAAATTAGAAAGATAACCCACATTCTGTTGGCAGAGAAACCTCCCTGTACTCATAGATAACCCTTCCCAAGAGGTTTAGGTACTGTCACACCTGGAATCCTACATGTGCTGTGTGACAATGACTCCGGTACTGAAGGCTGCTGCTAGGAATCTCCTCTCAAGGCAAAATGCAACGGAAAGAGATTCTGCAGTTTCCATTTACTGTGTAACAGATCAAGACTTCAAAAGATGCATCTAACCTTAAATACTCCCTGTTAAGATAACAGATTGATTTGCCACTCTTTGCTGTACATTCAAGTTGATTCCACAGGCTAAATCCAGTCACACAGGTAACTGCTCTCATGCTTAACTTCTGTTCCGAGATTAGATTCCAAACTCGTGAGCTGTCCTTGAACTTACAGCTACTGCTCCTGTAGTGTTCCTTATTCAACCAGAAACCAGGCTGCATTTCACCAGCTTTGCAGAGAAATGCAAGTTTTTCATAGAGGAAACCATTCCCTAGAACAACTGTCCTGAAAGAGGCTTTCTTGCCTCGTTTTCTTACTCAATACCCTCAAAGGAACAAGACTGACAGTATATGAGTTATTTCTTAAGAGAAGTCCTTACCTTTGGTGCTTTTGGGGATGATCTGCCCCCAGCGAGGTTTGTATTCCTGCTTTGAATAAGCCATCTGCAAAACAGAAGTGATGCTGTGTGAAACGTTCATGGAGATAGGCTGAGAGAGTTGGGGCTGTTCAGCCTGGAGAAGTGAAGCTGCTGGAGACCTCAGAGCAGCTTCAGTGTCTGAAGGGGGCTACAAGGATGCTGCAGAGGGACCTTCATCAGGGACTGTAGCAACAGGACAAGGGGTGATGGGTTCAAACTGAAACAGGGGGAATTCAGGTTGGAGATAAGGAAGAAGTTCTTCCCTGTGAGGGTGCTGAGGAGCTGGCACAGGGTGCCCAGAGAAGTGGTAAATGCTCCATCCCTGGCAGTGTTCAAGGCCAGGTTGGACAGAGCCTTGGGTGACATGGTCTAGTGTGAGGTGTCTCTGCCCAGGACAGGGGGTTGGAACTGGATGATCTTCAGGTCCTTTCCAACCCAAACCATTCCGTGATTCTATGATTTATACTTTCATTATAGTAAAATCACTTTTAACGCAGGTAACTTCAGCCTAACTGAGCCCAGAATGCTACTCCAAACCCTGCATTTGAAGTGAATTCCCTACCTACGTCAGTTAGTTTGTTAAACTTGTAACTGAACTAAACGGGTAAGCACTAAAGTAAAAAGAATACTCCCCACTTTGCCTGCCAGGTCATGCCAATTGTCTATAAATCTCCAGTGCAGTGTATTTAATGCAGAATAGAATCCCTCCCCTTTATTTAAGCACAAGGGAAGTTGCCAGTGCATGTAAAATTCAACCATTTGAGTACACGTTAAGTTAAAACTAGGTCAGGCAGCATCTCTGGAGCTTCAGCTAAGATAAAGGGCAGCAAAGCAGATTGTTTAAGTGCTACAATGAGAGTCCTGGATGAGAAACAAACTAATAGTTCACTTTCTCTTCAGAGTTAAGCAAGAGGAGAAGCAGAAGATGCATTAGGTCACTGGCCAGCTATGCCAACTGCAGCATCTCTGTAAGAAGCAGTGACTCCAGCACCATCCAAGCTCCCCCTGTCTCCCTCCTTCTGTACACCTACCACATTTCATCTCCTCAGTGTCAAGAGGCAGCTCCTAACTGTGGTTACATGTTACCAGAATATCACATCGATGTTAATCTTTTGAGAAGGAGATTCATAGCACCCGGGTGCCCTGGGGCTGCTCTTTAGTCTGGGAAGGGTTTCCTTTGGGCAACTTGTTGATACTGTTCTCCAAATGTCTCCTCTAAAAACCTACTTTATGTTCTGCAGGCACCACAAGCTAATGGCCAGCCTCTTCTCCCCTGCTCACCTGGCCATATCCCCCCCAACACCACCCCACCACCTCCAGACACAAGTTCTTCATGACAAGCTCTTCATGGCTTTAACCTGCCAGAGGGGAGATTGAGATGAGCTCTGAGGCAGAAGCTCTTCCCTGTGAGGGTGCTGAGGCGCTGGCACAGGGTGCCCAGAGAAGCTGTGGCTGCCCCATCCCTGGCAATGTTTAAGGCCAGGTTGGACACAGGGGCTTGGAGCAACCTGCTCTAGTGGAAGGTGTCCCTGCCCGTGGCAGGGATTGGAGCTGGATGAGCTTTGAGACTCCTCCCAACCCAAACCATTCCATGAGTCTGTAATAAACATTTATTCCACATTCATGCAACACCTGCGGGAAAAAAGAGAGTTCAAACACCCAGTTCAACTACCACAGGCAGATTGAGGACTCATGTGATAGATTCACACTGGTTTGTACTGGAACAGTACATTGCACCTCCCACTGCTCTGGTGCAGGACGCATTCAAAGGTCCTTCATCACCCAGCATCCACCAGGTCACTGTCCAACCACAACAGTCATGCTCTTTGGTAGCACAGCACTCTGCAAACGTACTCAGGAATCAGTTTTACATTCCAGAGCAGAGAAAGGAAAACTGAAGTTACCAAACTGCATCTAATACTTCGTAGTTCTTCTGACCCCAGTAACTGTGGCTTGGAGGGAACGATTTAACAGATTACCAATGCCTCTATTTATTTATAGAAAATCCCTTGGTAGGCAGACAGACAGAAAAAGAATAATCCCCCCTGCACCCATCCCTGTTTATTTACTAAAAGGTAAAAAAAAAATCCTTGTTAAGCACAAACACAACGTTCAGATCATATTTTAAAGCATTTTCTTGGCATCCTGGAGTTTGTCATGACCGAAATCCAGGTTTTAATTAAAACCCAAGCCAGCAAGTGCTTGCTGGGAGAAGATGAATACTCTATTTAAAGAGCTTCTAATAGGAAAATAAGGGCACTCAAGAGCTCCTGAAAGGTGCTGAATTTGGTGTTAAGACACAAAACTGCTTTCAACTTTCCTAAACTCAGCTTTGCGCATTCAATGCTCTGGGAAAGCAGGTTTTTCTTTCACCTGCCTTAGAACCAAAAGCATCAGCTTTCTCCCAGCACAAGGTAACTGAGGGAAGCCAAAGGTCTGTTCAACATAGGTAGCAAAGTGGTTTATTTTGGTTTTAAGAGAAGGGTTCCAAACTTCCACTTCTTCAGCATCTGCCTAGTTGGGACCAGACATGAGAGGTTTTAAGCTTGAGATTTTGTGAATTCTGATGCAGAAAAGCCAACTTCCAACAGAACAAATACATGAGCTGTAAGAAATCTCATACTTGGGGAAGTTCAGGTTAGACCTAAGGAAGAAGCTCTTCCCTGTGAGGGTGCTGAGGCACTGGCACAGGGTGCCCAGAGAAGCTGTGGCTGCCCCATCCCTGGCAGTGTTCAAGGCCAGGTTGGACACAGGGGCTTGGAGCAACCTGCTCTAGTGGAAGGTGTCCCTGCTCGTGGCAGGGGTTGGAGCTGGATGAGCTTTAAGGTCCCTTCAACCCAAACCAGTCTGGGGTTCTGTGATTCTATGACTCAGGCAGGTTTTTCTAGCCACAAACCCAGACAGAAATCCAGCCTTTTGGTTATCAGAGGTCTTCAAGGCAGAATGCAAAACTGTATTTATCCCTACGGCAGCTAAGAGATAACTGGACATAAATAGTCCAAGGGGATGAATTACACCCCATACCATCTGAAAGGGTGATTTAACCTCTCTCCCATGCTCCACACCCACAGGCTGCACTTGTCAAGATATGACACTTCCCCCCTGCTGTGCTTTCAGCCTCGTAATAATGCTTCTTGTCTTCCATGGGACATTGGTTTGGAACTACTCCAGCCTGCTTCCCAGAAACGTTTCTTTCTGCTGGGAGCAGTTCCACATCCATTCTACTCGCACTGCAAACCAGCAGCAGCTTGCTTTGGAAGCTGAATCACCACCTGTCTGACACCACCAGGGAAATGAAGGTGGATTTCTAGGTGGATCCTCCACCCGATGCCAGCCTTATCCTAGCGCGCTCCTTATGTTTCTTGCCTGGATAACACTGTGGACCAAAAGGTCTCCAAAGCTCCTGCTTTGGAGGTGCTGAAGATCAGGTCGGGGCCTGCTCAGGCTTGTCAGCTCTTCCCAATGAATCAGTTTAAATCTCAAGACTCCCATAGAAAATGAAGTGTTAAGTGGAAGCCTTGAAAGGAAGCCTTTTCCTTCTCTCCGGAGGCCTCTCATTTCAGTGTCCTGTGTTTACTCTCCAAAATCCCAGCCAAAACCAGTACTTTTATTCTGTGCTATTTTCAAGCCCTTCACAGCGAGTTGTGACGCATTTTGGATGTAACAACGTCGAGTTCACAGTGGTTAAAGCTCAGTAAATTCCACCTCCCTGATAACCAAAGCCTTTACTTTGTCCGTGAATTACAGGTTACCCAGAAAGGATTAGGATAAACATCACAGACAAACACATTTAACTTGTTGAAGCCATTCAGGTACAAGTAAAAACCGTATTAAGTTTCTTTTTAGACAACACACATGTCTAGATCAGATTCCTCAAATCTATTCGCTGCCAATGGCTGAGAACACTTTGGGGTGGGCACGCAGCCCTTGAATTCTGGGTGCTGGGGTTTAAGACATTCCTAGAATCAAAGAAAAGCACCCAAAACACATGAACAGATGGAGGTTTTCTGCAGTCACCAAAATCCTTCTAAAGAAAAGCTGGAGGAGAAAACAAAGATGACACCAGATAAAACCCCAGCCATCACTCAATGAGTTCCTCAAGGCGTGGGAGCAACAAGGAAACACACACATTTTTTCCAGCCTCAAAGCTGTAATATTCTCATGTGCTTTCTTCTTAACAGAAACAAGGTTTGCTCTCAAATCCCTAGCAGACATGCTGCTTTGACACAAACCCTACCATCTCCTTGGCTTTGGGTCCCCCAGCAAAGCTTCTCCCTTCCATATATCCCAGTACTACAGAGCAGCAAGCCAGCATACACACTTCCTCAGAACTGAATCTAAACACATTTGATGGTACAATGAGGCACATACATATTTTATATATAGAATCATATATTCTATTCTTATTTTATATATAGAATCACAGATTGGGTTGGGTTGGAAAGGACCTTAAGATCATCCAGTTCCAACCCCCTGCCATGGGCAGGGACACCTCACACTAGACCATGTCACCCAA